AGAAAGCCTGGTAATGGAGAATAATTTTACTGCCCCCGCTTTTTACTTTATTTCCCAAATTGAAAAATGCATTATGGCAAATAATCACTTTTCTTTAAATTTGACACATACTTTGAATGTAGGATGGTATAGTTTTGTGCTGAAAGTGTAGTCAAGATTTTTTCCCTGATTCCAAGGTTAATGGTAGCCTAAATAATAAAGAAGCAGATGAATGAAAATTTCTCCCTTACATATTAGGTGAGACTTGGTATAATATTTAAAGAAATTTCCTACCAACTTAGAATGTTACAGTGCAATATGAGCGATGCACATAAAGTGGAGTGAGAGAGAAATGGAGGAAGATATTACTTTCCTGAAATTGATCGGCAGAGATTATAGAGAGAGGATAGGATTTGAACAATGTATTCGAGAACAGTGACAATATTTGTTTGGCTTATCACGGTATCACTAGAACAGTGGCTCTCGGTGAGGGGTAACTTTGTGAACAAGGAAACATTAAACAATGTCTGGAGAACTTTTAGGTTGTCATAGCTGGCAGGTACTACTGGCATTTAGTGGGTACAGGACAAGGATGCTGCTAAATATCCTACAATGGTCAGGAAAGCCTCCCAGAGCAAAGAATTTTCCAACCCAAAAGGTCAATATCGCTGCTGGTGAGAAACCCTGCCCTTGAATCTGGCATAGAGCTTGACAAGGAGTATATTTAATAGATACTAATTGAATAAGTGGATGGATGCTTGCAAAAATGGATATTAGCAATACAAAGACAAACTTGGAGACACACGTAGCATAAGAATGAGGAGAGAGAAGACAATAATATTTTAGAAAGGTGAAATAAGACAAAGAATGAATAAGAGATGGGGTAAGGTCAGTTCAAGGTGGAATATTAAACAACAGGGTCAATATGACAGAACTTTTGGCTAAGGTGAGTGTGATTCAAGTTTCTGTCACTGACAAATCACATATGGGTTTGGTAATGATAACACCTCAGAAAACGTAGAATTAGTAATGATAGTTACAAGTGAACATTTAAACTGTGCTGACTATATTTTCTTTCATGCTTTTGTTTCTTTAAGTTGCTTCGTGCTCTCCATTGCTTCAGTTTTATGTGAGAAGAGAGCCAATATTAATTTAAAATCTAGGTTTTATATGAGCTATTAATATCAATGACGTAGACAATGTAGCTCTGAGTCTATTTATTCACCAATAGGCTTTAGGATTCACCATCACTTATCAGTCATTGGAAATGCAGACAGAATGTCTAAGCAGAAAGGCCTGGCCTTTACAGACACTGATTAGAACACCAACCCCTAATTAATGGCAGGAAACAGTGGCAAAATTTATTTGCTTTTATATACGAAAATATTTGAGTGCACCCCCTGCTAAACCACCTGCAAAACTTAGAATTTTCCCACACCATTTATCCTTAATCTTACCATATGAGTGGAGTGACTACTTACAGGAAATTTTATATATATATATATATAAATTGCAAAATATATGCAAATTTTAGTTTCAGTTTTGCTCTTTTGGCCATGCAAAAGACAAATGTCTTCTACATGACAGCCTTTCCAATATTGTCAGAATGTCCTTGTGACCTCAGCTACGAATCCATCCCTCATTCTTTCATGATTAGTGAGAAAAAGAATCAGGAATAGGAGTTACAAACTTTTTCTAGAAATAAGCCAGATAATAAACATTTTAGGTTTTATGAACCTTATGATGTCAATGATGTAAGTTTAATGCAAAAGCAGTTGTAGATAATGTGTTAATAAATCTGTGGCTATGTGTTAATAAAATTGTTACAAAAACAGGTGGCAGGCTGGATTTAGCCCCTTATTTATTCCTAATCAAGAGGATTAACAGCTCAAGCAATGATTAGGAGAAATTTTTTCTAAGTTACTATTATTTTAGAAACTTTGTGGTGAAAGGTAATTTTATAAATCATGTGATGGCCAACAATGGCTGCACCTTCTAATCACTCTCATATTTTTTTATTAATGTAGTCCTTAGATATGTATCAGAGTTAGATTGTTTCTTTGGGAACGTAAGTCCCAAAAATATCCAGGGGAGTTGGGAGAGTTCAGAGAAATTGCCTAGCATTCCTTAGCTTGCAACATTTTAGAAAAGTAAAATCGAACCACAGTGGAAGAAGAATTCATAAAGCACAACATTCAGTCTAAATAATGGTTACAAGAGCAAAAAAGGAGCAGCCCAAATGCAATTAGATGATTGTAGAGATGGAGGCTGACAGAGGATAAATTATGATCAAGTTTTCACCATTGACTTTTGGAACCATCCTTGGGCCACTGTCCAGGCACCTGTAAGGCTGCAAATTCAAACACCTAACTTAGGTCCAAGACATTTTCTGATTTCTAGGATGCACTTTACATCAAAGAACAGTAAATTCACTTGAAATTTCCTTAGTAGGTGAAGATTTTCACTGTATAACAGTTTGCTTCTTGGACTTTCTCCTTTTAAAACATGGGTGTGTCATAGCTAGATTGCTAATTTCAGTCATTCTTTCCTTCTTACAGCCAGAAAGAGATATCCCGAGTATGGTAGCTTGGATTTGAGGAGAGAATGCATAAAGGGTAATGGTCGATGTAAAAATGAGTGTCATGAAAATGAAGTTAGGATTGCTTACTGCATAAGACCTGGAACTCACTGCTGCTTGCAGACATAAGGATGACAGAAGAAAAGAGACATATGCTCCATGAAGAGAGGACCATGGTTACTAAGTTTCTCAGCACGTCCTTCAAGGCCTATGTGTCTCTATAATACACAAATAATTAAATAAAATGTAATAATGAGCCTGAGTGGTTCAGCACAAGTGGTTCTAATTCACACCCATACATGGTGCCTTGACATTGCACTTTTCTCTTGATTTATTGATACCAGAAGTAGCAGAATTTATTTTATGGAAGTTCCTCGAGAACTCCCCAAAGTTCTATGTGTCTCATGGTCATTGACATGAGTAATGTTGTGGGAAACCCTTCAAAGAATCGAAGAAACACATTTCTGAGATACAAGCTTTCAATAGAAATTGTGCTTTATAGATTACTCAATGAAAAAATATAAATCCACTGAACTTGAGAGACTGAACAATGAGAGGGCAGATCTTTCTTGAGAGAAAAACAGAGCTGAGGTGAGAGAATGACCAGAAAGTAGGAATGGTAGAAGAGAGGAAAATCACAACCAGCTTCAGTATCTACTCTCATTTATTATTTAGTAAATAAAAATACGCATCAAGAAATAGGAAAGGGGATAAAAAGGAAGGAGAAGAATTTCAGGAAGGAGAAGAGACTATGCATAATTAAA